TCTCCAGTACTCGATATATGATCCACTGTTGATCTGCACACAGCTGTTGTCACAAACGTCGCACTTGCTTACGTCACTGTCATGAGACATTCTCGCAAAAAAAATCACGGTTTTAGTAACGCAGTAACGCAGCGTTCCTACGGGAAAGTAAAGGTAATCTAATTAACGTTTTTGCAATAGTAATCCCTTACTTTACTCGTTACTCGAAAAAAGTAATCGGATTACAGTAACGCGTTACTGCCCATCTCTGGTTATAATCTTACAATATTTTGTCGAGCAAAATTTTAAACATTTGGATTATGACTAGAACTAAATGACAATTTATTCAAAAGACAATGACTAAAACTCTAGATTTGCTGCAAATTTACCACTGCTTTTTATGGAACCAGTTCAAAATCAGCTCTGAACAAGTCTGCCTTAGTCACAAAAGGGGAGCACACATATAACTGATCTGAGGGGTCCACACGAATAAATATGAAAACGGCGTATACGTCTGAAAACGCTCCGCGTCCACACTATCGTTTTCATTCGTTTTCACAGACTCGTTCATTTACATTGAACGCTTACGTTCCAGTACTGCGAATGCGTGAAACGCAAGACGATTCGACCTGCCTCATTTTCGTCTGCCGTTTATTCACTTTCCGACTCTTTGAAACATCGCGACAAAATGTTGAGGAAAACTTTTTTTAAATGGACTAACAATGAGTTGGAGTTGTTGCTGCGAGTAACACAAAAGTACAAAGTTGCAAAAGCGAGTGAGAAATAAAGAATTTGAAGAAAAGCTATCTGGAGCATGTACACACTGATATTAATCGTTAATAGGGCTGTCAGAACTGAGAGCAAACAAAACAACTGCTGTATAATGCCCTCCACTCTCTTAGTTTAATTGGTCACATGACTGAATCCCATGATAAAATGTTTCATTGTTTTCGAAAATGCTCCGGGTTCGCTGTCCACACTGCGACGCGAAAACGTCGCTTTCAAATGTATCCGCTTTGGAGAGTGTTTTCACAATGCTCCGTGTTCCTTGAGCGAACACGCCGTCTCAGTGTGGACGGGAGGCCAAAACGGAGACAAAAGGATGCGTTTTCAAATGAAAATGTAACAGTGTGGACATGGCCTGAGTAAGAGCAGTTAGGATAGATGATTTATACTGCTTAAGTATTTTAAAAAAAATTCTTAACATATTATTTCCTCTCCTCCCTGAAAATGTTCCAGAATGGATAACACACATTTTTGCACACACGCAAAGACTGCATTGTCCACAGCATGAGAAATGATTCGCACCTGGGCTTCAGGCTCCTGGAGGTCTGGCTACTGTGACCATCAGATGCTGAGATGTCAGGAATCACACATCCCCCTTGTCCCAGTAGGCCTGAGATAGTGGGGGATGGTTTGTGGTGCAAGTGTGTGAGAGAAACACATGCAGACAATGTGGGATTGTGACTGACAGGAAGTACAATAAAGCACTGAGCTAAGTGCTACATGTGGCTATGGGCCTCTCTCGCCAGGTCAAAGGTGATTTTATCATGCGCTTACCCACAGAGAAAGAAATAGCTGGGTCTCAACATTGACTCCTTTCAGTTTTAACTGCTGTAAACATGGAGGGGTGTTTACCCTGCCAAAACTTCAGTCACGCAACAATAGAACAGTTGCAGCTGTCCATCAACTGTCTTGTGCTCTGCTGCAGTACTGAAAAAGAAAATTCAAAGAAGAACAATAACCTCCAGCACCAGGCTTACTGTAAATATTGTACAGTAAGCTGCCGGAGCGTCACGGCACTCTCGCTTGGAGCTACAGTTTGATCTTTGCCACAAGAGGCTCTCAGAGCAATGGAGACAGTCAAAAGCAACATCCAAGAAGATTTTGTAGAAAAGCAAAGAGCTTTAAAGGTTACTGTGTTTAACCTCTGGGTTTATGTGGGCTAAATATGTCCCGCTGTCCACATAAATGCTTTACATCTTCTAAGTCTGCCTAATGGATCAAAGAGAGGGTCCGCTGAGAACGGCGGTATCTTTCTTTTATGATGCTGGAAACAGATATGGGACCAAGGATGGAAACTTCAGCATTAATTATTGAATTTCAAAGAGTAAACAAGCCATCTCTCTAGTACCCCTTCATACTCTCTCCGCTCCTCTATTTTTTTTCATTTTCCACAGTATGTCAGCTAATTAGCTGTGGAGTGAACCAGTGGAATACATGTTGTTGCCATCATGCAAACAACATGAAACACAGCCTGGTTCCCAAGTGACTGAGAGGCATTCAAAACAAGCTCCTACACTGAACTGAGTATTCAAAGTACAACTGCACATTGCGACGAAGGACGGCCGCTTTTACTCTCTAATTAACTTGTGATTTCAAACCTTCAGAGCAGCGCGTTCAGGGATTGTGCTTTTCGGCGCACTTTAGCACAATCACACATGGTCAACAGTAAACAAAGAACGGCTTTTAAGCAAACAATAGGTGCAGATCTTCATGCAGCCACACTGGGGACATTTTGCATAATTTGCTTTGAGAAACTTGAGAACGTTCTCACATTCATACACATCAGGCTACAGTAAAGACAACAAGCAAAGCAGGATTTCATCAACAGTCATTCCCCTCAGGGCAGCAGTTTATGTCTACAGAGGCTGATGCAGTCTGCTGCTGTTTGACTGTTCTTCTGAACGATTGCTTCACAAGTGTAGTAAAGGGTGCTGGACTGAAAAGGAAGCAGCTTTTTAAACATTTTGTTGCTTTTCGTGGGTCCATGAACACTTACTCTTTTGTGTGTGTAATTTCAATTGCCACGGATATAAAAATTAAATGCAAAATGTTCCTAAAGTGGCATTCGGTTTATGTTTAATTCCATGATATCACAATGAGTCCAATCAACCTCCAGGGCTAAAAAATGAAGCCAGTGCGAGGTACCAAAAACTAGAGTTCCTCTAATGGCCACACGGGCCTGGCTATAAAAGCAAGTCAGTCCCCACAGCTTTAAAAAAGATCAACTTCATAGCATCAAAAATTTATTACATTTATAACCTGATGCAATGAAATGTAATCTAGCTGACAGCAACCATCAGAAGATTGGTCGTAAAGGGATAGACGACAACATCAGTAAGATAAAGTCAGTCAGGGTGTGGAGTTTAAACAATGCTCACTTGCTACTAAAGTTTCCAAAGTGTGCAGAGAAGATATCTCACATACTATTACACCACCAACTGCAGCCTGGACCATTGATACGAAGCAGGATAGATCCATGCTTTTAAGTCGTTTACGTGGATCCTGAATGTTGCATTAGAAATGGAGACCAGGCAACCAATCTTCTGTCCAGTGTTAGTGACCACATGCTGCCCAAGTTTTCATTCTTAGTTTACAGGAGCAGCTTTCAGGTGTGATTTTCTCCTGCTGTCTTCCTCAAGGTTTGATGTTTCCTGCCAGGTAAATGACGCTCCGCAACGTGGTGACGTCATTCGGGGCGACTGGAATCGATAAGGGAATCGTTTGCAAAAATGGCAAACAATTCCAAGGAATTGAAACAGTGGGAACCGGTTCTCAACAAGAACCGGTTTTCGATACCCATCCCTACCAGCGACTGTAAATGTGTCCACAGAGTTTATGTATACAGCTTGTGAATCAAGATTTCAAGTGTTCGCTGATAAATTAGCACTGTGGCCCCCAAAAACAAGGATGGCAGCAGCAATGACACAACTGAGACTTCAAAATGCAGAGTTGATGTTATGGGGGCTATGTCCATCTTTTATATACAGTCTATGTTTAAAAAGAGATAGATCAAATTTGTGAGTAGCCTGTAGTTTGAGGCAGAGGGTATTTTACAAGGGAATAACTTCATTTTTCTAATTGTCTACTGTTTGTCTTCTTTATTCTGTGTTTGACCAGATGAAACTTTACAATGGGTCACAAAGGCCACTAACACAAACATTTTCTTTATCTCAACAGAAATTGTTCTAAGATAGAGAAGTCAGACAATCCAGTGGCACTCTGGTTTTAAATGTGCTATACAAATAAAGTTGCATTGTATTGTATGTAATGCTATTTAATTGTCTGATGGTGGATGCTGGTGTAGTGTTGATACTACAAAATTCCAAACAGAGCCTGTCAGAAGGCCTTTTGCATCGCTACACTTATGTTAAGAAAACAGTAGTTTTTTTGAGATGGTCACACAGTCTGTGTGGTTGAGACCTGTGATATTTACACAGTGCCTTATTGTTATGGAAAACAGAAAAGTGCGCCCCACAATAATTTCACACATGGGGCTAAGGTTAAGAATTTTTTTCTCAACATGCATAAAAGTTTGATATATAAATTCTGATGACGTCCTCAAGCTGCTCTCAGACTCCAATCCTGACTTTGTCTCATTTACATGTCTTCCTGGTGTGGTGAGATTGAATTCATCCATCTGAACCAGGCGATGGTATTTCATCAACTCTGGATCATCGTGACTCTCTCTTCTGACGTCTCCCTCTCTCTCATCAGGCTGAGGCGGCCACCCAGATGATGTAACTATTAATTAGGCAGCTGAGCTTTTGTTGTCCTGGCCTGCCATTTTAAAGGTGTCTTCTCTACCATGAGAATGATTCAACTCCCATTTACGTCATCACAGTCTCCCTCACTCATTTCTCCTGCTGGATGTCTAGATCATTTCATAATTAGTTGTGTGCTCGAACGAGTAAACATTAGAAAATAAAATGAAGAAATTAAAAGGATAGATCCTGGAGTACTCTACGCAGAGTTTATGCAACTCTTCTAGCTCAGTCCCTTTTAACTCAAATAAGGCCAACACCGCCAATATATCGACCCCTCTCTGCAGCAGGTTTTGGTCTGTTATCGATCGGTGACAATTATGGAGTACGAAACTGGGTTTCCAGATTAAAGTGCTAGGTCACTCGTTATTTATGAGGGTTTTTTATCAATTCATGGTATGAGGTTGGGTGCAGGTAAACTAATTTTTGCAGTAGCAAAATATTATGCTAAATCCCACTAAATATCTCACTAACCTGCTGTTAAACTTCTCAGGGTGCTTCTCACGCATCAGATGAAAGCGATGGGCGATTGAGGCATCCTGGAGGAGAAAACAGAAAAGACATTGTGAATTTAACCTCACGTGTTATTACAGCTGGATAAAGGTCAAATGCAAACTTAGCTTTGTGCCAGCATAAAAAAAGGTGTCATACATCAGTCATTGTTTGTTTTTAGAATAGGCATGAGAACAGAAATGCTACTGGTTCAGTCAGTAAAAACTGAGACGGAGAGTGTACCGCTACACTCATCAGCCAATTACTGTACTCACTCCACTCTGTTCTACCAAATATACAACCATGTCATAAAAGGATTTCATAACTTAACCTTCATTGTAGTTGCATATTTACTGCTTTACCTATACATGTCAATTACCTGCACCTGACAAAAAAACTGCATGTTTGATTTGGCCTTTTTACCCCAGATACCCTCCATGATGCAACTCCAAAGGGGGATTTCCAGCTGGAATTAATCCAGCAACCGTTACCAAGCAAATGTGTTAACCACTACATCACCGAGCCACAACACTGATACAAAATACAGCTTTTAAATGATTTCATTTATGAAGGGGAAAGGATCTAAACCTACCTGGTCCTTCATATAGCTCTAGAGAAATTTTATCCCACCTCTCTTTGAAGAATTTTGAAAATTCAGTTTTGTTTTTTCTTTTGTTATTGTTGTTGTTGTTGTTGTTTTTTAGCATTAACAGTCTGTTTGAGGTCATGCCAGGTCTGTTTAAATTTGTTGTTTCAGAGCAGAATTTGCTGGTTTGTTTCAGTTCAGTTTCAGTTCTGCTGAATAAGCCAGAAAAACACAAACCGATATTCTCGGATATTCTCGTTCAGCATTTTCTGATAGAGAGCAGACTTCATGGTTGCATCAGTCATGGAAAGTCATCCAGATCCTGAAGCAGGAAAGCAGCCCCAGACGAACACCATACCATCACCATGTTTGTTTCCGCCAGACACGACGAGACTCCAGACTGCTCCAGAAATGTCAACTTTTGTAACTCCACAGAATATTTTCCCCAAAGTCTTGGGGATCGTCAAGATGTTTTTGTGGCAAAGGTGAGATGAATGTTTGTATTCTTTGTGGTCAGCAGCCGTTTTTGCCTTTAAACTCTCCCATAGGTGCCATTTGTGCCCAGTCTCCTTCTTATTGCTGAATCATGAATACCTAACCTGAGACATCTGAGATCTGCAGTCTAGATGTTGCTCTTTGTTCTTTTGTGCCGTTGTGGATGAGTCATCAATGCATTCTTGGAGTCATTTTGCTAGGCCAATGTTAGAGCCGTATTCAACAGAAAACTAGCTAGTTTAATCAAAAGTTTCCAAGCAAGCTAAACTTCTTCTCTTTACTTTTTTCATTTCATTTTCTATATTTTAAATAGGAAGCAATTAATTGACTGAAAGAGGAAAATAAGTGGCAAAGTAATTAGTAATAGAAATAATAGTTATTTACATCTATTTACATACCAATTTCTCCCCACTTGAAATTGCTGTGCATGAAGACAGTGTTTTGATCAAACAATAATTTGATCCAACCTACCACAATAACCCTTCCTATTTCCTGCTGTAATTCAGTCTACAGAGCACAAAGACACTGAGGAGTATAAAGCTAAGGCTAATGACACATTACAGCACTGATCTGAGGGTCACAAGTTTACTGAAGCTGGTCTTAGACCGGACCCCACCTTCCTGCCCCGTGTATTTAACCCCTCACCTCTGGGCCAAACCCCTGATCAGTCACAAGAGCAGCCTCAGTATGACCCCTTTAAATAGGCAAACAAACAACAGCAGCCGCCAGCAGAGACATAATTGATGTTTGCCATGTGAAACTAAGAAGAAATGATATTGTCCTCTGCTCATTTTGATTCATTTTTCACAGCCTGACAGTCACAAGAGCCCCTGATAGTGCTTTATGTTAAAGTACACAGTTTTGTTTCTTTTTACCTCTTAAAACAACTCAAATACGTCCATCATATTAACTCTACAAGCCAGATAAATAACAACAATGGCAAGTTCAATTAGCACTAAGACTGCAGACGCTCAAAAATACCATAAACATGCATGGAGACCCGCAGCACGCACAGAACACGCACAGATTTGATTGCATGAGATCTGTGACACAGAGCAGTCCTGATCTGAACTTTGAGCTTGACCAGAGCTTCTTCTGCTCCACTAAAGCCTGAGGATCGTCTTATTTTATTAACAAAACCTTATATGGGACTGTTTGGATAGCAGGATGTGTCGCCTTTACAGATGTTAAAGTAATACATACGATGTTTAATAATTGACTATCTTTCGATTGACATAGCATTTAGCCTTGAGGATGCTACACTGATGTTAAAAAGAAGAAAAAGAACAACACGCTGGTTTGATATATACCGTTGGAGTTACAGTAAGAGCAAGATAAAAATAATCTGCAGTATTTACTCAGACACAATGTTCATCCTCTAGTTCACATGTAAATATAATCCCTTTACAGCTTATTTGCATGTTATTTTCATGCTGCCAGGCTTCTCATTTAAAGCAGTCTTTCCACTTAAATATTGTAAATAACAGTTCAGCACAACACACATGTAAATGAAAAGTTAATACTCTCAATGCCCTGCAGCTAGAGAAGATGCAAATGAGGGGAAAAAAGTCCCTGACAGAAGTAATGACCAGTTTTACCGACCAAAACGTGGCAGTAATGATGCACTGCTACATTAAACATGTTACCTTTACCAAAGGACAGAGAGAGAGCGAGAACAGATCAAGAACAAAAACAACGCAAATTCTTTTACAACAGATACGGTGACGCTCAGTGAGTAAATATACCAAAACGATGCATCTACATGGGTTTGCATGAAGGAGTGTGTGCGTGCCTGCAGGGGTCCTTTGCTTGCTGCCTTTCTCTGAGTATAGTTGTAGTACATTTCTACATGGTCTGAGTTTGTGCCTTTGATTATGTGAAGATGGTGTGCAGTGGAAGACCTAAACTGCTCACCCAATTAGAAGTTAGAAACAGTCGTACTGCTGCTTTTCCACAGGCTCAACAAAATTAATGATTTGTCTTTACCTTTGATTGGGCCATGACCACTACTGTTAACAACTAGAACTAACCCAAACCCTCCAATTATTCATCACTCACTAATAATAATAATGATAAAGTTTTTGGACATTTCATGCAATATTGTAGGCTACCGCACAGAATCATAACCTCATCTTCTAAGGGTGTCATTTACTCATTTTTATCTTATCCACTAACATCACTTAGATAAGCTGTGAGAATAATTGTGAGCATGCATCTTATAATTTAGCAAAAATGTAGGTTTTGGAAGGTCAAGCTGTACTTTCCACGGTACACCTTTACACGAAAAGTGAAAAACAGGAAACTGGATATTTGTAAATTCTTGTCTAATAAACTCAACTCATTTTAGATGCTTGGTAATAAGGAAGGACAACCCAATATCACAACAGAGTGTGTAATAGACACGGCGGTCCACCGTCTTCCCAAAACGTTGCGGTAATCTGCAGTAACAGAAAAGCGAGGTATTTTGTTTCAAACCAACATGCAAATAATCACATGAAAGCCTTTAAACAGACTATTTTTAACACATTTACATCTATATACATATAATCATCCAAGCTTAATAGAATCTGGTGATTAAGGACCCTGGAATGTACTTAACACATTTTTTGCTCACTAGCGACTTTGTGGGTTTAAATATATCATCGCCCCCTGCTGGTCATGCAATTTGTGCATGGAGTTAGGCAACTTCTGCATGCATGCCCATTTCACGTGGTTAGAGAGGCAAAGTGGGAAATGGACACGGTGGACTGGCCTGTCTATCCGGTTGTTCAGTCTGACGTCACTAGCCATGTCTGGACCTAAACTCCGCTGCAGGTCCATATATCAAACGATCACTATGGCATTACTGAGAGTTGAAAAACTGTCTAAAGTCTTTCATCTTTAATAAAATGATCAGCGTTCTGCTCTACCAGGTGTAACAATTGAGTTTAACATCCAGGCATCCATGAAAACGGAATTTATGACATTTAACGGAGTTAGAAGTTAGCAGGGAGTTAGCTCGCTAGCTTCTATCTAAATACAATATAGCATGTCCTGACTGCGGGGTTTTGGAAACAAATTAAAACGTACAGCTCTGCTATCACTTCCAGCATAAATGAAGACAGAAAACTAAACAGCAGTGACGTTTGTAGGGTTACTGAAGTTTGGCTAGCTGGTATATAATGATGTGCTACGTGACCGCTAGCGACACAGCTATGTTAGCATAATATCCGGTTGTTCAGTGATGACGCGACGAATCCTACTTCCGGGTCTAAAGTAGTCTGCGTTTAATATGGCTTTTGTGTTGTTAACATGTTTAATGTTATGTATTTTCTTATATTTAATCTCAAAAAGCTCCTAAAACAGTCAGTGATCACTGTTGACCTCCCTCGGCTTTTATTACCGCTAATCATTTATTTAAGCTCAGTTTTTAAAACCTTAGGATGTAACTACAGCCCAGCCCATGCAGCAGTATATGAATGACTAACCTCGTATTGTGGATGGATTATCTCAGTTGTTCTCCTGGCTGAAGTTTGGTCCTTTTACAGCATCCTGCCATGCGATTACATTTGTTCCTGACCACCGAAAACACTCATGTTAACTTTTATCGAGTGGAAAAAAAGTTAGCTTGTTCATATATGCTAACATAGCTGTGTCGCTAGCGGTCACGTAGCACATCATTATATACCAGCTAGCCAAACTTCAGTGACCCTACAAACGTCACTGCTGTTTCGTTTTCTGTCTTCATTTATGTTGGAAGTGATAACAGAGCTGTACGTTTTAATTTGTTTCCAAAACCCGCAGTCAGGACATGCTATATTGTATTTAGATAGAAGCTAGCAAGCTAACTTCCTGCTAACTTCTAACTCCGTTAAATGTCATAAATGTCCATTTTCATGGATGCCTGGATGTTAAACTCAATTGTTACACCTGGTAGAGCAGAACGCTGATCATTTTATTAAAGATGAAAGACTTTAGACAGTTTTT